GCGGGTAATCAATGGAGCAATGAGGTCAAATTGTTACGATTCTGTTACATAAGTATTGTGACCTAGAGGCTCTTCCCAATGCCGGCCCTGACCTCGGTCACGAGTCGGTATGAAACAGTGAATGAATGATGTGGAACGAATAACTATCGTGAGACGTACTAAAGAAATCAATCAAAAATATCGGTTTAATTACGTAAATATTGAGAAAAGCTCTATTAATTTCAGTCCACAGTGGGACCCTTCCTCACGAGAAGCGTGCGCGTATGTAATACGAATATTAGCTTCTGGTATAAAATCTATCCGTGTTCCAAATTCTATCCCGATTCATTTAGTCGTTTTCATGTGATTGAGTACCAAACTGCCTCGTTGGCCGAGTGGTCTTAAGTGCGACTGCCGGACAAGGGTTCTCGGGTTCGATTCCCGGGTCGGGAAAAGTATTACTGGGTTTTACAACCGACTTCAAAAAAAAAAGGAGGAGGTTCTCTATTCGACTGTATTTTTTGTGACTCGTATATTGTTGGTTTTTGAAGTCGGTTTTTAAAAAAATCTTAGTAGGAGCACGTAGTCTGGAATGGTGCCCGCTATGGCAATAGGCTCACCCCCTATTACATGGGACTCATAACATAAATAGTGAAAAGTTCATGGTATCTAAATTATCTTAGAAAATTACATATATAACGGCGTGATGTTATGATATGTTGGCCCACACTATGATTTTCTCCTGTGTCGTGGGTGCGTTTACAAACATACAAGTTCACATACACATGACACCCAGACCCGAAACAACAATTTGTAGATCCCACAAAGTATTGTTCCGTGCGGGAACCCGCGACACGTTGCACGGCAGCCGGTTGCCCAACCACCGCACCGCACAACCGTGCAGTCATAAGTTTACATTACTTAGAACATTAATCAAAATTTTAGATATTTTTATAAATGACCTAAGCCTGCTCCTAAATTTTTGATAGCCTAATTATAAGGATGAAAGTCCAAAGTAATTAATTATTATTATATATGCTAAGACTTCCGGGATATAGAGATAAATAAATCTAGATTTTGAAATAGGTATCATGGAGTTAAATCTTTCGATTTCCTTTCGATATCTTCTAGAGGCCGAAATTAATAATTATCTAAGGATCGATCGCCGTTCGTCACACTACAGCTAGGCCAGACCAGGGTGCTTACTTTTGAAACCAATCTCAATCTCAATGCAATTTCAATCCAATAACATCTCAATAATTATTTAATGCCAAAACTATACAACCCCTATCGTAGCTGTTACAATAACATTCAGAGTCCGGAATATAAACTCAATAAGTACCTACCATTTAGTTCATTAAATATCCACGCAATACGGATGCAATGGGCGCTAGTATTGCAACTGAAGAATACGAAATTTTACAATGTCAGTGTTGATCGATTGGAATTGGATTCAAGAGTAAGCCCCCTGTTCTGATATTGTCATTTATAGCTTGCATGCTTTCGTCAAATGACGTATCGTGGACAATGATTAAATAGAACACGTCGTTATTTCTATCTCCCCTCGGGGAATACCAGACTATGATTTTTTATTACAATATAAAGCCTAATTAAATACATTTTTACATATAATCTCCTTTATCACGTAAGTCAAGGACATGATAAAGGTATTTCACCTATATCTACGAATGTCTTACGCATTTACGCATATCTTACGAAATATTAAGTGTTTTATTACCGAAAGGCGACGAAAAGGAACAGTTTGCTTATGAAATGATTAATTAATTAATTACACCTGAATTCACTCAAATGTATGTATGTTTTTTTATGTAATGGATCGACGTTCGGTCATTATCTTGCCTGGTGCACGATGATGTGGTTTACAAGAGCACCATTGCACATTCCGTGGTTTTTTTTATACTTAATAGGTCGACGTTTGGCCAGCATCTCGCCTGGTGGTAAGCGATGGTGTGGCCGACGATGAAGCACCTACCCATGACATGAGTGAAGACACCCAAGTCATATTTGACGGGAAACAAAGACTCCGGCAAGGAATTCCATTCCTTAGCGGTTCACATGAGGAAGCTTGACGCGAAACGCTTCGTGCGAATGGGTGGAATGTCCACCATATATCGGTGGCGCCCCGCCGTTCGTCTGGTGGTACGGTGGTGAAATGGACTAGGGAGAATAAGGTTGTACAATTCCCACGCACACTCACGGTCGTAATGGTCGAAATTGTTTCACGGCATTTAGGCACGCGAGTCTTGCTGGCGCCCCTGTGCCAGAAGACGCGCGTGCCTAAATGGCGCCCTGGCCTGGCGCCCTACTAGACACATTGCCTAGTTTGTCTTAGAAATAATACGCCTCTGGTTGCTGTTGCGACCGAGTTGGAATAACCCAACTCGATCTAGCATAACCTAGTAGTATATTGTCTACATGAATCCGACTCTGCAGTCGAATAATTTGATGCTTTCTGCCTCGCACAGAAAAACTGTGGAATGATCTGTCGACGGCGGGATTTCCGAACTGATACGACCTTCAAACCTTCAAGAAAAGAGCGTATTCCTTTTTAAAAGGCCGGCAACGCGCCTGTAAGTCCTCTGGTGTTGCGGGTGTCCATGGGCGGCGCTGATCGCTTAGCATCAGGTGATCCGTGGTGGTGATGCTCGTTTGCCTCCTATTCCATAAAAAAAGAACACGGTACACTCAGTAATCGTGCATCCACTGCACATGAGCCTATCACATAATCTTAATGATTTAAAGTAATACCTCTTATCGTTATATATTAATGTTATTGCATAAATTTAAAAATTATATGCAATAACATTTATCTACTTAGGGAATGCAGCTTAATGATCGGCGATAATGAACAATATGCATTAAAAACAATAAATGTAGGTATATATAATGTGCAATTGTGCATTTTCAAATAGCTATCAGCCGTTTTTTTAAACAAAGGAGGTGTTTATTCTCGATTAACTCGTGATTGGCTCAACCGATTTACTATTAGTTACATTTAAGAGTGGGTTTAAGTATATTTGACTTCTAATTTGAGATGTAAGCATGCCATTTTAAAAAAAAACATACGTAGAATCACGGAGTTTATTTGAGAACCCCTATTATATGGGACTCATAACATAAATAGTGAAAAGTGGGAAGTGGGTGTTACATTGTACAGTGGCATTAAGTGCCGCACCTTTACCTATCCCTTCAGAGATAAAAAGGTGTGATGTGTAATACTATCCCAGTATCATCGCAAAAGGAGTGTAGGTAGCATTGAAATAAATGCTTTGACTTTGACTTTGGAACGTGTTCTCGTCATAAAGCCTTGTACGGCGACACATCAAGATTAATAAACCAATTTATCCTGGCCTGGCTTTGTATGACCTTCCCTTACATTCAACAGTCAGTTTATACTGGTTAATATAACTAGATATACATACTTCCTAATCATGTACTAAGATACAGTGGGCAGCACGTCAAGCTACCCTTTCAGACCAATTTCTTTATTTGATTTTCAAATTTATCTGTTAGATGTAAGGTTGAAAATACAACGACAATTTAAAAATTGAGTAGGCTGTTATGCTGGCCAGTACTACAGCGTTATCTTATTTAAATTATTGTGTTATCTGTGTACATGTTTCTTTGTTTTGCAGTCTCCGCCTAGGTTAGGAGCATGCAGTACGTTGCTAGTCTTAAAAAAACAAAAAATATAAGTGAAAGATACTATTTTCATAAATAGCGGATAATATTTCGTGTATATTTTTTAAATTTAATATAAATTTAATAGTTTTCCTACATAGAATGTGTTTATAGAGTTCATAAAGTTTCGTTTAATTTTCAAATAAAACAATACAGGGGTATGTATTCATTATTTTGTTTATTATTTAATGTATTCAATCAATATCTTTGCATCATCGCCCTCCACCAGGGGAGAGGGACAAACGCCATACTAATAAGTCTAAAAAAATTACAAACAAATAAATAATATATGAGCCTCTAGCATGGCTTGAAACTAGTCGAGTTTCTCGTCAAACAGTTAGGTACGTAAGTAACGGCTGATTTTTCAATGCTCAGTTAAATTTTTCACTGAGGAATAAGTTTGAATATTTGACAATTCTTCCATACTGTTGAATGTCAATTTTACAGTTAAAAAATAACTGACAATTGAAAAATTGGCCCTAACTCGAAAACATTGCGGGACGATCTCCGGCCACCGTAAGCGCGGGCCTGCGGACGGCGAGCATGGGTGGCTCCCCGCCCGACCAGAAAGAGACCCGAGCGTACGGCGCCGAGCGTTCCGCGCGCACCTTAAAGAGCCATCAGACCACCACAGATGGGGCCCAACAGGGCCGATGCCGATTCGGAGTCGCGGAGAACCTAACGGGTTACCGGGGCTCCGGCTCGACGTGCTGGAGAAAGAACGGGGTGGTTTTTAGTCAGTAAGAGTCTGAAACTTCCTCCCGCCTCACCCAGGCTGGAGCAGTCAGTCGATGATTTTCCCCCCTTAAAAAAAAAAGTCGAAAACATAACAATCAATTTAGTAAGTTATGAAAGTACTAATATAAAAAAATACAGTAACACTTTTTTCATACAGCTAACAATATCAATCACTGTCACGTGTATGTGAACTTGTATGTAAATAGAATAATATTTTATTACGTTATTTTTATTGTATTTTTATAGACTACCCGTCCGTTGCACTTTTGAAACAAAACACACTGGCTTTCTCTGTAATCACAAGGCACAAAAAGGCTAAACAAACAGAAATAAGCACTAAACAGATTTTTAACAACTTTCTCCTATAGCGACAGTGATTTTACTGAAACTATTACATGAAGTAAAAAATCCTATCGTTGTCACTGATAGAGCCGTTTTTTTAAATAAAAACATTGCTCCTCTCTCACTAAGATTTTCTCCTGTGTCGTCGGTGCGTTTACAAACATATAAGTTCACATACATATGACACTCATACATCAATTTGTCGATCACACAAAGAGCAGCTCCGTGTAGGAATCGAATTCACTACACGTTACGCGTCAACCGCCCAGTCATCGCACTAACCGAAATTATCTATTATCTGTAGCAAACCAAAACAGGCGAATGTATAGGGCGCCAGGTTTCAAATGGGCAGCGAGACGTGCGTGCCCAACTGCTGATAGAGTGACGGCGGCGCCAATAAAATTTTGGGGCGCCAGAGGTGCTTGTTCAGGGCGCTCTCTAGGCTTAATCCGCCTCTGTTCACTGACAAACAATTACATTTTAACTGTCAAAACAATAAAATATTAAAAAAGAATCACACTTTCATTCATTGATTTTATGATATTAAAATAAATAAATATAACTAATATGATTATTTAGTATTTATTTTTCCAACATTTTTTTTTAAGAAATAAATAGGTATGCTGTTTGACGCTAAAAAAAACGTGACGTCACAATACACAATCTCGTACAAAATTCATAGAAAACTGTCGTTTTTGACAGTTCGAAAAAAGTTTTGAATTTGACTAGTTGGCAAGTACCCGATTGAATCCATGCATTAAACCAATTATTTTTTTGTTTCAGGTCTAAAATGGTGACACATAGACATACACAACTCATATGGATGCAGTATTTGTGATAATACAACATAAGTTCAAATACCACAGTTAACTAATTAACTGTCAGTTAAAACAGTGTTCCAGTGATATTAGTTGTAGTTAGTTACAATAGTTCAAGATGGACAACTCAGATCCCGAAGCTAAATTGAATGAGGTAAGTTGTTTTAATTCATTATTTTCTTATGAGGCGAAAGAGGTATGTAAGAATCATATAAATATAAATATAAAGACTGCCTCGTTGGTCATGGTCGCATGTGCGACTGCCTGGCAAGGGGTCTCGGGTTCGATTCCCCGATCGGGCAAGGTATTACTAGATTTAAAAAAATCTCAGTACTAGCACGGAGTCTGGAATTGTTTCCGGTATATGGCAATAACGTCACCCCCTATTACATGGGACTCATAATATAAATAGTGAAAAGTGGATGTTACATTGTACACTGGCATTAAGTGCCGTAATGTGCAACTCTGCTTATCCCTTTGGGGATAAAAGGCGTGATGTTATGTTATGTTATGTATAAATATAATTGGATTTCCATAGCAGCGACAGACAGACTGCAGATGAATCACCTGATGGTAAGCAATCGGCGTCGCTCATGGACACTTGGAACAACAGAAGCGTTACAAGTGTATTACCGGCCTTTTGAGGATTGTTGAGGATTCAGGGATTGGGGAAAGGGGTAATTGGGCTTCCGCTAACCTCACTCACACGACGAAACACAACGCAAGCCTTGTTTCACTATGATTTCCTGCTCGGCCGTGGTGTCACTCCGGTCGAGCCGGCCCATTCGTGACGAAGCATGGCTCTCCCACACTTTTAATATTGGTAGGTACTTTTCATTGGTCCGGTTTAATGCAGTTTTATAAAGATCTGTCAATTACGTGAGTAAGCCGAAAACATAATAATATATAAAGATCTGTAAACGTAGTCTTAAAAACATTAAAATTTTTCATACTTAATACATATCTAATTAAAAACTTAGATTAGATTATCACAAACGAGATTATTGTAAATTACCATAAACCGGAATCGAATTGATTCAATCACATCGTAGATAATAATGTTTTTGTTTTCGGGGCATAACGGTCAAGTGTCCATTTGACACATAAGTGACACGTGCTCTGTCGAGAATCGAACCTGCTAATACACGTGCTCTGCTAAGACTCAATATCTATGCATACTATACCCGGGATGCCGGGCTCCGGCTCGAAGGGCGGGAGTAGGAACAGGGTGGTTTTTAGTCAGTAAGAGTCTGACACTCCCTTCCGCCTCACCCAGGCGGGAGCGGTTATTCAATGATTTTCCCCCTTAAAAAAAATACTTTTAGCCATAAATCCTTCGTCCTAAATGACACGGTTGGTCATATATGATTGTTTTTATTGAAATGAAATATTTTCCCAAATATTTCCTTTAACTCGAAATAACTTTGTTTGTAGTGTCTATCTCTAGTGTCTATACTCCATAGTCTATTTAATCTAAATACATATTTGTTTTTACTTTTCTACACACAACATAACGTCACGCCTTTTATCCCCGAAGGGGTAGGTAGAGGTGCACATCCCGGCACGTAATGCCACTGTACAATGTAACACTTACTTTTCACTATTTATGTTATGAGTCCCATGTAATAGGGGGTTAGCCTATTGCCATATACCGGGCACAATTCCAGTCTCCATGCTACAATTGAGTTTTTTTAAATCTAGTAATTCTTTGCCCGTCCCGGGAATCGAACCCGAGACCCCTTTACCGCCCAGTCGCACTTGCGACCACTCGGCCAATGAGGCAGTCTTCATTTTCTAAAAACCATTTTTCCCAGAAACGCGAGCGAATTTTGTCGTGTAACAAATACGCGTGCATTATGCACAATATGCACATATCTGATATGAAATAAGTTATGCATTGTATTGATGTGACTAATACACGTTATGATTAATATACATTTGATAAGAATAACTCTGATTATAGACTTTATCAAAAACTCAACTAAAAAAGCCTTCGAAAAAACTTAAATACATTTGACTTTGACTGCCAATAAAAAACTGTTGAAGGTAAATCCTCCGCTAACGCCGGTCACCGGTGACCCCATGGCGTTTAACGTGTTAAATTCCTCGAATGTATTTTATACTAGCCTCTGCCCGAGTGCCCGCAGTTTCTTCACTCACATGGGATAAAAAGTTAAAAAGAAATTTGGAACAGGGATATATCATAATCTATTTAGTTATACAACCAATCTCGCGGCGCGACAGTTCGGTTGGTGCAACACTGGTCGCGCCACCAATAATTACTATAGCGCTTTATGGTGCGTCTCTCACTCAGCTGCCGCTGGTGTCCCGGTAAAATATAGCCCTTATATGACAGCCCCGGGTTTTGGGCACGGGCCCCAAGTGCCCTTATAGTAAAGACGGTACTGATGACACCCACGGGAAGTGTAGAGATGGTTAAAAATGTAACTACGCTCGCCACATGTTTTACGAGCGAACCAATTAATATTTTAACAAGCAATGTCAATAACGAATCCAATCACAATTGTTATGTTTGATTGGTTTTATCAAATGAACTATGAATACGTGATTACTTCAGTTCATGTAATACCTCTGGAGGCGTTCAGTTCATAGCTTGTGCCGCAACAGTATTTTTTCAATTTGTCGCGACTGAAGGCAAGCACTGAAGTGTCTCCTGCACATATTGAAGGATTCATGTACGCAGATGACCTGTGCTTGTGTGCAGATTCTCCGGTAAGTTTTGCTACGAAGCTTCACGAGCAGTATTCTAAATTCGGCCTAAAGATCAGCATCAAAAAATAGAAGTAATGTTTCTGGATTAAAGATGACGCGGCAGGCCCAAATGGAAATGACGGGATGAACTGGACATTATATACTATAACTAACTTTACGTAGAGAGCTCTGTGATAAAGCCTTTTAATCTGTCGTGATATCTAACCCGCCTGTTAAGCGTGGAGATTATGATAAAACCTCTTTTTATATAACGCAAGCCCGCTACAAGCTTTCAAAACCGCTGCAACTCCTATACACCAGCGTCTACCGTAGATACAACCATGCAAACACCGAAACCCTGAAGTCTCAGAGACTAAAATCAGCCTGATAAGCTTAGAGCTCAGGACAAACCCTCTTTTTCTGTGACGCAAGCCCGCTACAACCTCTTAATACCGCTGCAACTCCTGTTCACCAGGACCTACTATAGATACAACCATGCAAACACCGAAATACTGGAGTCCGGCGTGTCCCAGGGACATGAATTACTGTCTTGGTTCCCGCAACGAAATAAAATTCAGAATTTATTATTAGAGGAGATCCTCTCACGTAGAAGAGACTTAGTTATAGTTAGATAAAACTATGTAACTACAGAATGGTATTGTGAACCTGATTGAAAAAGAGTAACCTATGGAGTTTCTTGCTCGTTCTTCTCTATAGGAAAGACCTTGCAAAGAGCAAATAACTAGTTTCACTTTTATTTATGTTTTGTTGACGTTCAAAGGTGCCTTCCTCGTCTAATTCTTTTTTGAAATAAATGATTTTGACTTTGACTTAGCAGGGTCTCGTCACACTGCCGTACCCAAGCGATACACAATTAGTATTCTATGCTTATAATCCGATAGTAAAGCTGTCATTCGCTATTAATGATATTGATGATTGATTTGAACAGTTTTTCACTATAGTACTGCAGAAAATAATCTTCGTAATGGAGGCTACCATATTTTTTCCGACCAGTGGCGCTAGTGTCAAATCAAATGAAATCATTTATTTCCTAATATGGGTAAATTAAGTTGTTAGCAGATAAATAGATACAGTTCCGACCATATTACGCCTTAGGGCATGTAAATTACAAAAATTACAGCATCACAATGTTATTCGGAGAAAAATTATTACGTCAACATCTCTTTTTGCGTCCAATGAGGAATTAGCCAGTGTCAAATTATTGGACGTTCAATCTTGGACAGCTGCAATGATTGAACAAAAACCTCTTGCTACATTTGCGGTGATCGAAAATACAGTAGCCCTATATTGTTTGACTAGTTAAAATCGATCTAGATCGATGAAGCATTATGAAGCAGGATGAATACAATTAATTATGTTTGAATAACAATCGATTATGGTACTACGCGTTGACATGTTGTTTAAAAACGAATTTGGTTTTAGTAAACAACTTTTGTTATAATGAAACAATGAGACAAGATGATATCTATATTATTATTATTAGATTAGGCTAGCTTCTGCCAGCGGTTTCGCCCATGGATATCGTGTTCCCATGGGTAAAACTAAAAAGTAACCTAGCGTTACTCTAGACTTTTTTTTTAAAGGGGGGAAAACCAATGAATGACTTCTCGCTCCTGGGTGAGGCAAGAGGGAGTGTCAGACTATTACTGACTAAAAACCACCCCGTTCCTACTCCGCCCTTCGAGCCGGAGTTCGAACCGGTAGTTCTTGCGTGATTCATAAACATACAGACAGACAGGCAAACATTTTTTAACCGCATTTTTGGGTGTGACAGCACGGCAGACAGCCTGAATGCTGAGGCCTTATTATAAGTTTGTTCCGCGTTTAAACTAATCGTAACGAGTACGCTGTTATACCCAAGGAATATCACACCCTTATCCCCGTCACAGTGCTGACACTTCACTCCTCGCCTCAAATGCATACAACCCCGTCCTATACAAAAACAGTCAGTCGCATTCCATCCACAATCCCGTGCACTCGTGGGTCACACTCGAAATTATAATACCCTTTAATTTGTGAAGTGAAATAAAAGTTATTTTATTCTTCGAACTGCAGTGTTTCCTTTAAGAAGAGAACTTACCATATCAAAATCAAACAACGCGTTCGGCGCTCTGATTGGCCGGCGCCAATGAAGCAACCAATCAGAGCACCGAACGCGTACTCGTTACGATTACTTTAAACGTGAAACATACTTGTACTTAGGCCTCAGGTCACAACTCACAGGTCACGTAATCCTAAACCAGCTGATACGAAAGTAATAGAGTGGCTGACAGGATATGAAAATTAAAAACAATATTAGTCCGTCAGTTAGATACAAGAAGAATGTTAGATACATAAAATAACACATAACATAATATCACGCCTTTTGTCCCTTAAGGGGTTGGCAGAGGTGCACATTACAGCACTTAATGCTACTGTACAATGTAACACCTACTTTTCACTATTTATGTTATGAATCCCATGTAATGGGGGGTGAGCCTATTGTTATATACCGGGCACTGTTCCAGACTCCGTGCTACCACTGACATTTTTTTTAAAACCCAGTTATACTTTGCCCGACCCGGGAATCGAACCCGAGACCCCTTACCCGGCAGTCGCACTTGCGACCCCTCGGCTAACGAGGTCACGAGTCATGACTTTATGACTATATTCAATAAAAATATTTATTTTGCAGCGGCCTGAGACCAATGAGGTATCGATAGATGAAGCCAAGAAGAATGGAGTCAACGGTGGTGTAAGTATGATTCTTTTGCAATTTAGTTTTTTGATACAATTTTAACCAGGACCGTGCTAAGGTACACTAGGCAAATGGGCGCCAGGTTTTTTAGCTTATATAAGGGCGCCAGATTTTTTTATAATATATTTTATTTATTTCCATATATTTATTTAAAATTCTCTATTAATTACATTTTTAAATACTACTTACAAAAAAGAAATATTTAAAAATATAAAAAATAGGAGCCGACCAGTAGCGGGAGTATGGTCCAAGCTACCGGTTAGGGTTAGGGCTCCAGAGACAGAAACCTCCTCACGATACGTGCCGTTTCTAGGAGAACTGCCATCTGTTTATTTATTTATTTATTTATTATTACATTTCAGAACAGTTTTAAATCATTTTATGCACCATTAAACCAAAGCTGGTTTGTATTGGTACTCACATTCGCTTAACAAGTAATTTATAAACTTATTGAATATACTTACAAGTGACAAGAGATATAAAATGTAAAATAAGTCAGACATTTTAAGAATAAAAGTAAAAATCCATGAGCAAATGAGAAAAAAACAAACGCACTCATTAACGCGGTTACAGAAGGGCGCCGTGAGACGCTCGTGCTCAACTGTCCAATGAGTGACATCTTCGCCAAAACAGGGGCGCCTATGAGGTGCGCTACTAGGGCGCTCTCATTGTTTAATCTGCCCCTGATTTTTAATTACCGTGAGATATAATAATTTTAAAGAATGTGTATATTTCGTGATATCGTTATTTAAAGTAATGTCAAAATCCATATCTGTCCTTCTACATAACTAAAAAATCGATAGTTTCAGCACCACTTATTAGGAATGTGCTTATTTTTTTATATCAATCTGAACTTCGCTTAAACTGGCGGCAATGGGTGCGTTACGGACCCATTACCGCCAGTTACAGGCGAACGTTAGTTTTCAATTTAAAATCCGTTTAGTACGACTGACGGTCGTCGAAGGAATGGTCACCCTGGGAAACGCCTTGTCGCACGAAATCGCATCGGAGCAATTCGCATCGCTGTTTTGTGTACGAGCCCTACCATAGAAAATATTTTTTTGTATTACTTGTAGTGAGTGACGGTGACGTTGATTTTCTATTTTTAGCCGGTAACACACGAGTACTTAGACTATGAACCATCAGGCTGGTTGGAGACGACCCTGCTGAGGGTGGGAAGCTCCACAGATAACTTCATCAAGCAGAACCGATCTGTTATGAAGACAGTCACTCTGTTTTCATTAAATGGATTAGTCCTGGGATTCTTCTTCGGATGTCTTTATCATTATTTAAATAATGGTGAGTATATAATAAAATACAATACATACAACAACAACACACACAACATCATGCCTTTTATCGAAGTGGTTGGCAGAGGTGAACATTACGGCACTTAATGCCACTGTACAATGTAACACCCATTTTTCACTATTTATTTTATAAGTCCCTGTAATAGGGGGTGTGCCTACTGCCATATACCGTGCACAATTCCAGACTTCGTGCTACTACTGAGATTTTTTTTTAAATAAACCCTGTAATACTTTATCCAACCCGGAAATTGAACCCGAAACCCTTGCCCGCTTACTTGCACTTGTGAGTTGTGACCACTGAACCAACGGGGCAGTCTCCAATACATATTAGTGTAAATAATTACAGAGAGAATATGCTATTTATGGTATAGGTCGTTCTGCAAACGAGCAGATGTATCACCTGATGGTAAGCAATCGGCGCTGTCCATGGACACCCAAAACACTACTGTGGAGTTTCAAGTGCGTTGCCGGCAATGTAAAGTTTAATAATTTGAGGATTGGATATTTGGGGATTTGGGAGGTCATTGGGCCTGCGGGAACCTCACTCACATGGCAAAACACAACGCAAGCGCTATTTCACGCTGGTTTTCTCTCGGTCGTGGTATCACTTCGGTCGAGCCGGCCCCTTTATACTGAAGCATTGTTCTCCCACACTGTAATATAATGTATATATTTCTTAAGAAGCTCACCTTACAATACTGTAAAACTAGCATTTAACTTTATTCCACAGCCAGAGAGCCTCTGGAGCTCTGTCATGGCTTCGGCAGTCTCATAGCATTCCTGGGTATCATATACTTTTTCATCATATATTTCCTGGTGGTGAAGAGGTTGATAGGAGCCTGGTTCGAGAGAACTGTGTGGAGCAGGGTCGACAAGATCTTCAGTAAACTTTGGACTATGATGTGAGTACAATTTTATTAATCTTTTGCTAGCGACTTTGCCCGCGTTGCCAGGATAAAAATGACCCCATGTGTTATTCTAGACTCTGTACCTAATTTTGTCCAAATCCGTCCAGTAGAACAGTCAGTGACAATCCTCTGTTGGACTATGGATCTCCTCTTCATAAGAGGGTTTGCTTCAATAGCTTCAGATCTAACAGAAAGAGATCAGATCTGCTGGATTGCTGTCAAATGTGAAGTGCCTTAATCTTACAACATCGAGGGGAAGAGTAGGGGTTGATAAGTGACAACAGCCTTTCGGTTTTCTATCGGATACATTTCGGTGCGTGTGCGGGAATGAAAGGAAGGAATTGCACAACTCGATTCTTGAGTTACACAATAATGTACTGTAAGATTTGTTGTCTTGATTAGTTCTAAATAAAAGCCCGCGACGGCATATTTCTGTCCTTTACGTGGAAGTCACTATGCCGATTATTAAGAATATTAATTACGATTTATCTGAAAACGGACAACTGACAGGTAACATTACTATAAATATAAACTAAGTACTGAATCGATTGTGATGATATTTGTTACAGTCGTACAGCCGTAGAATATACCTTGGCATAGACTAATTCAAAAACCATTTGTTTCTCAGTGAATGTAAGAGGTTATTAACGGAATGGTTAAAAACTTTGTCGTACGAAGACACTGAGAACATTTTGATTAGAATTCAATAACAAACATACAAACACCATACAAACAGATACATACACACATACATACATACACTCATACATACATACACTCATACATACATACATAAACTCACTCACTCACTCACTCACTCACTCACTCACTCACTCACTCACTCACTCACTCACTCTCTTTCTCACACACACACACGCACATCGATTCATACATCTACTCTCACAAAAAAATAATACTAATCAATTGCTTTTAACATGTCATACCGTTCTACCATAGTTTTTTTATAGTTGTAACTTTTTTATTTCTTATTTTACTATATCTACTTTAATTTTTGTTGTTTTCCTTTAATTAGCAGATCTCGAGGTTATTATTTTTAAGAGTGTTAAATAAATAAAGAAAGGATCGAGTCAGTCCCAACACAAGTATTGTATAATAACTTACTGGGACTGCCTCAATGTTAGACAGATAGTGTAATTCTTAAGATAATAAAGAATTTTGATTTTTTTTGAATTGAACAGAAGTCGCTATTTCACGCGGACGAAGTCGCGGGTAACACGGGTGGTTTATCATAATTTCTACTAAGCTTTCAAACTACAAGCAAGTCGCATATTTCTGAATCTTACATCAATTGAAATCTTTCATTACAGTTGACATAGCGCAAAACATCAAACGTTGAAAACTTCTGAGAATTGATAGATCGGTCAACGAGTTTGAATTGTTCATTAAAACATTGTATCAATTTAAACTGCTTTAGCAGAATTAGAATTAAACCAATCAGATGGATGGAGCTCATGACACTGTAAGGTCATTGGCTTGACCGTGAATTTCATGGTGTATGTCGTGCGTGGCTTATTAAAAAGAATACTATCGGAAAACTATATTCATTTTTGACCATGAAAACTACTTACACTACATAAGTCATTAGTTATCGAAATAAACTGTTTTTCTTTCTGTTATTGGGTCTCGTTTAATAGGGGAGACTCTAGAGAAATAGAGAATGCCCTAGGCACCTCACAATCACTTTAATTTTTTTTCTTGACTCCGCGTCACTCTATAACAGTCGGACAAGCGCGTCTCGCTTCGCCACTGGGTAACCAGTAGCTCCAGCCAAATGCCAATTAGCGCTTGTCTACATGTAGAAAACCAACTGACGTAAATTTTGACACTTGTCAGTGTCATACCCATACATTTAGTTTTCTACTCTCTCGGTAGACAAGCGCTAAAGTGGCGTTTGGCTAAAGGCACTGGCGCCCTTGTCTAGGGCGCCAGAATGCCTAGTTTACTTTGGGGACAATACGGCCCTGGACGCGCCGAACTTTAATGTTTTGGTTTACATGTGTTTTGACATGATTTTTTTAACTTAATTACTTTTGTTTTGTCCACAGATGGTTCCGCTGGTGTCTTGTATTAGCTGTGTTGGCCGCAATAGCTGTTTACTTGTTTGTTGACACCCGGGATGATCCAAGCAGACTCATCTCACTTATAGGATTATTTATAATACTATTGTTAGGTAAGTAAGAGACAAAATGTATATATTTACTACTTAAAACACAATAACGGCCATCATCGTGAATTTCTATTTTCTAATAATTGCCATAAAGTACATTTAAAAACCATATTCAACCTCCTTTTTCGAAGTCAATTAAAGATAATCGCGGACAAAACGACATACCAATCATACTCCTTTTTTTAATTCGAAATATTAAGGAGATCTTACTTATCGGAGTACAAGTAATTATCGGATTAATTACCTCTATAATGCACAGAAAAAGAAATATTGTAAAAAACTGGTTTTTGCCGCCGTTTTTCCGAGATGGTGGCGCGAGCGGCGCACGTACAAAGGTGTAAAATGGCAATCAGAAATAACATAGCACATCAAAATCTTCAAAATTGCCCACTTTCAAAAGTTCCGGAAAACATTCCAGATAGAACCACTAAATAGGGTAGATCATACAGAAACGAATACTTTTGACGTTATATTGATTTGAAATGTCGCATGACGTCACTTCTATGTACATTTTATATGTAGAAATGACGTTTTAGTCCCCACTTCTAAACTTTGATTCGTTTTATCTAAATGTTGTTTTAATATAGGTACGACAAAATAAAAAAATACGTGTCTAATATTTTTTCATTACCTAACTTACGGAAATTTTTAATTTTCATACCCTGTCATCATTCAAAGATTCAACTATTAATGATAATTAATTTATTCTTCTCTTTTCCACCAGGTTTCGTGTTCTCTGCCCACCCCGGTCGTATAAACTGGCGCACTGTGTCTACTGGTCTGCTGATCCAGTTCATCTTTGGGGTACTCTTCATCAGGTGGACTCCTGGAAGACTGGCGTTACAATGTTTCTCTGATAAGGTAAATTTGAATACTTTAATGGATCGTAAATGCGATCTTTTCATTTTATTTTCATTTTAGATATCTGAGGACTTATTACGAGTTAGCTGTTTTTTATTTTTAATGGGATAAGCCGGTAGACGTGCAGACGCATCACCAAATGGTCAGCAATTGGCGTCGCCCATAGACACCCGGAACACCAGAGGCGTTACAAGTGCGTTACCGGGCTTTTAGGAATTGGGAATTTGAGGATTGTGGGAGATTCAGGTGTTCGTGAGATTGGTAATTGGGCCTCCGGTAATCTCACATACACGTTCAAACACAACGTAAGCGTTGGTACAAACCGGTTGGTTCATGGGAGCCGGCCAATCAGAGGCCTTGGTACGAGTTTGTCTTACGTTTAAAGTAATCGTAACGAGTACGCGTTCGGCGCTCTGATTGGCCGGCGCCAATGAAGCAACCAGCAATTGATGAAAATTAATACATTTGCTGATATTGTGTGCTAAAATACATACCAACTACATACATGCTATAGAAACTAAAACCCTAAAACCAGTTTTAGCAGTAACACACGTTTGCAGCTCGACTCGCACTTTACGGAGCGCTCCAGTGCCTACTGAAAGTCACGTCACGTAGTCTTATACCAGCTTAAGCATTAAATGCTATTTGAAAGCTAAAGTCTACATTTTAGGCCCTAATCTCTAGTAAGCAGGTATCGGATTTTTTACGCCGTGTTAACGTAAAACGTGATATAACTTCGAGGCGTGAATTTTTATCTGACTTGGTTTCGTGTATTGTTGTCATAAAACTGATAAATTAATCCTATTTATAATTGTAACGCGGCAATTCGATTTTGGTTTGTGTCGGACGCACGCGTGCAACTCTACTGGAAACATGTCACCTCTCTATTCCTCTTCCCCCGCTTCCTCGCCACTGACCGCTCGACGCTTGCGAGGACAACATAATTTATTTATTTATTATTTATGTGCACAGTAAATAAACTCGTACTACGCCCTCTGATGGAAGTGTAGATGCGACAAAAATATGTATGTTTATTCTACTCACCCACAGAGCCGTATTATCCCTAAGGCAAACTAGGCAAGCACCTAGGGCGCCAGGTTAGAGACGGGCGCCGTAAGACGCGCGTGCCCATAGAGTTGACAGCGGTGAAATAAAAAAATAGGGGCGCCTATGAGGTGCATGCCTAGGGCGCCCTTTAGATTGAATCCGCTTCTGTTCTAACATCAATAAAACTAATTATTAATGTATTTTTGCATTATACCAGGTGGCGACGTTCCTGTCTTATGGAGTTGAGGGCGCTGCCTTCGCTTTTGGAGACCTACTAGTCAGGACTGAAGGAGTTTTCGCGTTCAGTGTCAGTAGAATTTATTTACTACCTATATTTCGCTATAATTTTTACCTATTCGTGTAGAATTTCATTAATATCATTTGCTTACGGGCCTACTGTTCCATAAAAAAAGTTTAAGTATATTATACAGTTCACGTTTAAATTCACAGTTTCCAACTATATGGAGACAAGGGAGTAAAACTACCTAATAATAATAATTCATTATCTTTTTATCAAAGTTAATTAAAAATCGCGGGTTATTCACGTGAATATACTGAGAAAAGCTCTGCTAGTTTCGAATCACAGAGAGGTTCTTCCTCATGTTCAGCGTGTGCGTCGTCGATGTCGCGTAGCCTGTGGTTCGCGCAGCTTTTCTCAGTATATTCACGTGAGTAACCCGCGATTTTTAACTAGTTAATTCAGTATGTCTCACGATAGTTATTATAAAATAATATCTTTTTATCTTCCAGACGTTACCAGTAATCTTCTTCTTCAGTATGCTGGTGGAGATCTTATTCTTCTGGGGCGCCCTCCAGTGGTTTGTGTTGAAACTAGGCCAGGTGTTACGAGCGGCCACCGGCACCACTGTCTGCGAGAGTGTTATAGCTGTAGGAAACGTGTTCTTGGGGATGGTAAGTTGTTAACTCAAGTCAAATAATATAATGTACCTAAAGGTAATGTTACATTGTAAAGCTCTTTCTCAAATCTTAATATAAATGAAAGTTTGATTTGTGAAACTGCAAAAGTTGTAATTGGCTACTTTCCTTAATCGAAAATAAACTATTTCAACTGTTCAATACAATAAAATATTAAAAAATAATAACACTTTCATTAATTAATTTTATGACCAACTTAATTTTAATATATATCCAGCAAATCTATATATATAAAAGAAAGTTGTGTTAGTTACACTACTTATAACTCAACAACGGCTACATCGATTTGGATGACAATTGGTGGGGAGGTAGCTTAGAACCAGGAGACGGACATAGGATATTTTTCATCGAATTTTTTTTTACTTTTCACCGAAAATCATGAGCGGGAAGTGGAAAAAACGGGATTGCGCGTACGAAGTCGCGGGCTGAAGCTAGTTTTTAATAAATAAGTATGCTGTTTGACGCTAAAAAAACGTGACGTCACAATACACAATCTCGTACAAAATTCATAGAAAACTGTCGTTTTTGACAGTTCGCAAAAAGTATTGAATTTGACTAGTTGGCAAGTACCCAATTGGGAGTAATATTAGAATTGATTTACGGAAACACAATATCTTCAAATATTCACCCAATCCTGAATATTACAGCTTTCTTACAGTCCCAAAGTTTCATGGGATAGATTCGTAGTTTTTTCTTTGTTCTGAATGAAAAACGTCCTGGAGCTTACCCGTATTGGACAAGACTGTGACATTTTGTAGATTGAAAATAACTGTACAACTTCTTGTTCCAGACTGAATCGATACTGCTAATCAAACCCTATCTAGCACTGCAAACCCCGTCTGAACTACACGTCGTGATGGCATCAGGATTCGCGACAGTATCAGGTAAGTAACTAAAACCGGTTTCTACTAACCTCTCCTACATTTTAAGAAACCCCTAAACTAAGTGACTATTCGAACCGTGGAAGACTTGACGGGTTGCTAGGGCTCCAGTTCAGTTTCCGGCCACCGTAAGCACGGGCCTGCGAACGGCGAACACGAGTGACTGGCTGCTCGACCAGAGGCCTTAGTACGAGTTTAATTTACGTACACCTTGAACGCTATGGGGGACAAGGTATGGGCCACGCTAGCGGAGGATTTACCTTCAACAGTTTTCTGTCGGCAGTCAAAGCCTTAAAGTATTCGAAACGAGTATGCGTTCGGCACTCTGATTGGCCGGCTCCAATGGACCAACCAATGAGAGCGCCGAACGCGTACTCGTTACGATCACTTTGAACGTAAAACAAGCTCGTACTAAGGCCTCAGAACCAGGCCCGAGCGTACGTCGCGTTATACGCGCGCCTCAAAGAGCCATCAGACCACCACAGATGGGGCTCAATAGGGCTGATGCCGATACGGAGCCGCGGAGGACTTAACGGGTTACCGGGGCTCCGGCTCGAAGTGCAGAAGTAGGAACGGAGTGGTTTTTACTCAGTAACAGTCTGACACTCCATGTCCCTTCACCCGGGCGGGAGAAGACATTGGATGATTTCTCCCCTCAATGAAAGGGTTTCGAAGAGCAAAAGTTGGAACGGGGTGGTGTTTAGTCAGTAAGAGTCTGACACTCTCTCTTTCGCCCTACCCAAGGCAGGAGAAGTAATTTTGTCCTCTCAAATAAAAAGCTGTAAATTGACATTTAACGACATATTGGTTACACCAACATATGTATATGTGACACCTTACAGTACTTATTTTTTTGTTTTGTTCATAAACCGGTAAACGAGCAGACGGATCACCTGATGATAATCAATCGGCGTCGCCCATGGACACCTGGAACACCAAAGGCGTTACAAGTGCGTTACCGGCTTTTTGGGGATTAGGAGTTTGAGGATCGTTGGGGATTCAGGGATTGGGGAGATTGGGGAAGGGGAGGGTGATTGGGCCTCCGATTGCCTCACTCACACGACGAAACACAACGCAAGCGTTGCTTCACGTCGGTTTTCTGTGAGACCGTGGTATCACTCCGGCCGAGCCGGCCCATTCGTGCCAAAGCATGGCTCTCTCACACTTAGGGGGACAATTAAGAGGTTAGTTAACTGTGATACGTTACGCTAAGTAACTTTTAGGTAAGTGATGGTTTAGGGGTTGTTCTTGAAGACATAGTGACGTAGCCTGTCCCCATGTTATAAGTACAGCTACTTGTCCTTGACCGATTAACAAGCATAATGTTGAAAAGAACAGGAGTTCTTGAGCATGCATGAAAAGATTGATGACTGTTGAGGAAGCGAAAGAGGTAGTATTATCTTAACCATAATTGCACTCGGGGCCCGTGCCCAGGGCCAATGGAGACCCTCAGGGAGCCCCGAAGGACCGACAATTTCTACGACGGACGCATACGGGGCAGGGTAGCCGGTTGCCGCGGAACGTTCGATTCGTACAAATCTTTTTGTGATCCACAAATTGTTGTTTCGGGTCTGGGTGTCAGTGTGTTTGTAAATGCACTCACGATACAGGAGACAATCCTAGTGTGACCAAAGTATAATAATGATTGTGCGTAGTGTAAGACAGGCCTGGGAAATAGATTTGTAGGAATAGGGTAGACGACTAATTTTTATTTTAATGTCCGTCTGGTAGATTATTTTAAATCATTACACACGTATTTTTTATTTTCTTACAGACACGAATACTTTCGACGATATATTGATTTGAAATGTCGCGTGACGTCACTTCTCAGTACATTTTATACTAAGAAATGACGTTTTAGCCCCCACTCCTAAACTTTGATTCGTTTTATCTAATTATTGTTTTATTTTACGACAAAAGAAAAAAATACGTGTCTAATATTTTTTAATTACCTAACTTATGGACTAATTATATTTTTAATTTTTATACCCTGTCATCATCCCCATTGTAACAATATGGTATTTTACAACGAATCAAATTCAATACTTTTATCGAAACGTCAAAAACGATATTGTTCTATAAATTTTGTACCAAAAACTAACTTGTGACGTCATCATATTTTCGAGTCAAATAGCACAGTTATTTCTGAAAAAATATAACATAACATCATGCCTTTTATCCCTGAAGGGATAGGCAGAGGTGCACATTATGCCACTGTACAATGTAACACCCACTTTTCACTATTTATGTTATAAGTCCCATGTAATAGGGGGTGAGCCTATTGCCATATACTGGGCACAATACCAGATTCCGTGCTACTGCTGAGAATTTTTTTAAAACCCAGTAATACATCTGAAAAAAATGCTAGAATAAATCGAAAATTAAGTATATCGTCAAATGTATGAATGGAATTGTAATTATTTTTGAATATTTATTTGGATTGAAAAATCATAATAATTTATTTTTGAACCAGGAAAATACCCAATTATCGTTCCATAGTCTTTGCCTACCCACATGGGAGACAGGCGTGAGGTTATGTATGTATGTACATATGTATGTTGAGATATAACATAAGGACACAAATATTTTATCAAAACTGACCAATATTATCATTCATTACTTATGACATAAATTATTTTAATAGTCGTGTCGAAATATCTAATCAAGCTTATCGAAATTAATGCAGGAATTATACCTAATACGAAACAAATTCTTGTAAGATAACATTGAAGACGTATTAAATGTCCATACCTATCTAAACAAATTTACCGACTTTTAAATAATTTTCACAATTCACACCTCTACGTAGTTATTTAAAGGTGCTCCCTCACTGGGAGCATTCACGTGTATTATATTTTGTTATTTTATTTTAAAAGGCTTCATGCACACACTAATGTCCAAGCATTCTCCTCCAGCCGGACCTTTGGGTGATACAGAGACAAAAACAATGGTCGATGCAAGAAGCAAGCGTATTTAAGAATAAAATGATCAACAGAAATACATAAAAAAGGATAGTATAGATTTACATAAAATAAATCCCTATATAAACTTACATGTACATATATAACATAACAATAAACTTACACAATTATATTACATATACTACTTAGACTTAACATAATTATACATAGTATATTGATAATTACGACTCTGCCAATCTCTTCAAAAGTAGCTCCCGCACCTTCCGCTTGAATGACAAAGTTATAGAGGTAGATTCGACTTTGAGCATTATAATACAATAATACCTCCCTGACTAATGAGCATTTGCGTGTAATGTAACATATCAAACAACATGTCTAAGTGTGGGAGAGCCATGCTTCGGCACGACTGGGCCGGCTCGACCGGAGTGATACCACGGCCTCACAGAAAACCGAAGTGAAGCAACACTTGCGTTGTGTTTCGTCGTGTGAGTGAGGTTACCGGACGCCCAATTACCCTCCTCTTCCCCAATCTCCCCAATTTCTGAATCCCCAACGATCCTCAAACTCCTAATCCCCAAAAAGCCGGTAACGCACTTGTAACGCCTCTGGTGTTCCAGGTTTCATGAGCAACGCCGATTGCTTACCATCAGGTGATCCGTCTGTTCGTTTACCGGCTTATACCATAAAAAACAATATTTGACGAGATATTCGACTAGTTTCAAGCCATGCTAGAGGCTCATGTTCCTTGTCAAATCCTCCTTACTCTTTAATTATGTGAGTTAGCCGAAAAACATATAATTAATTTAGTATGTATCACGAAAGTCAGGTATAATATAAGTCCTGCAAATGTGTGTCCCACTGCAGGGCAAAGGCCTCCCTACCCTCCTTCCACTTCTCTCTATGTAAAGCTTTTTGAGGCCTTTGCCCTGCAGTGGGACGATCATGGCTGAAAATAAATAATAAATAAATAAAATAAAATGTGTGTCAGTTTCAGAATTGCAACTTTCGACAGATCATTCTCTAAATAGGGATGAGGACAGGGTATGAAAATGAAAAATCTTATTAATCCATCAGTTAGTTAATTAAAAATATTAGACACGTATTATTTTATTTTGTCGTATAAGAAAACAATACTTAGATAAAACGAATCAAGTTTAGGAGTGGGAGGTAGCAACGTCATTTTAGATATAAATCGTAGTCAAAAGTGAAGTCAAGCGATATTTCAAATCAATTATCAGCGAAACTATTCGTTTCCGTACAAAAACAAAAAATACGTATCTGTTTTTAAAAATCTACCAGAGGGACATTCAAATAAAACTTTGCGATCTACCCTATTTTCAGTGAGTCAGTATTTTAGTTAATCTGAAACATTACTTTTCTATAAAATAAATTTTCTATAATATCTTCTTCTTATAGTGCCTCTTCAATGTTGAAGGTCGGCCGTCAGCTTCTTGTATTTCTCCTTGTCGGTAGCCATGCGGAACAATTGTTCGACAGATGTAATGCCGGTCCACTCCCGGATATTTCGCAGCCACGATTTTCTTCTGCGCCCAGCACGTCTCTTCCCCTCCACTTTGCCCATCATGATCAGTTGAAGCAGTGAATATATATCGCGTCTAAGCACGTGACCGAGATATTCGATTTTTCGCTTTTTTCTATAATATAAATCTGTCCTATGTCCTAATTTTTTTTCAGATATGAATAGCATTGATGATTCATTAACACAAATAACTCGGCATAACGAACTACTACAAATAATTAATTATTATTCTAATGCCATAGGTACTAGGTAGGACCTCAAAATATATTTCTTTAGAACAATGGCACGGGTATAGGCACGTAAAGGTACGCCATCACTACTATCACTGCTGGTACGCGCACGTTGTTTACAAATATGAGTCCCAGTATGACTTAAAACTAATTTAATTTGTTTCGAATATATCACGTAGAGAATAGTAGAATGGATCATGGTACTTATAATACAACAACCCCACTCTTCGTGTTATGGTATTATAACAATTGGGATGATGACAGGGTATGAAAATTAAAAATCTAAATAGTCCGTAAGTTAGGCAATGAAAAAATATTAGACATGTATTTTTTATTTTCTCGTATAATAAAACAATACTTAGATAAAACGAATCAAAGTTTAGGAGTGAGGGCTTTTTTTTTAAGGGGGGAAATCATCGAATGCCTGCTCCCGCCTGGGTGACGCGGAAGGGAGTGTCAGACTCTTACTGACTAAAAACCACCCCGTTCCTTCTCCTGCACGTCGAGCCGGAGCCCCGGTTACCCGTTAGGTTCTCCGCGACTCCGAATCGGCATCGGCCCTATTGGGCCCCATCTGTGGTGGTCTGATGGCTCTTTGAG